GAGCTATGTGTAAACCAAGGGGGGCCTTTGCCCCTCCCATGATTTTGATTTTTTTTAGTTATTAGCTTGTAACTTTTTTTTGCCCCCCCTCCCTCCCAATTTTGTGTTTCTATAATAGTGTAGTAGTTCAAAATATATATGTTTATAGTTTATACTACACTTATAATTTTTCAATACTTCATTGAAATATCATATCTATAAAAGCACTATATTCTTTAGGAGTAGTTATTTGGAAAATATTAAATCTATAATACTATACTTTGGAGAAGTAGTTATACTATACTAGATTATGATAATATATTATGGAGCAGTATTGAAGATATTAGTTTTAAAGTGTCTAGTATAAAAGAATTATAAGAAAAATTGAGGTAATAATAAACTTAAAGAGAAGGAGTATATTATGTAGTAGCATCCTTTCAAAAAAAATTATGTAGTAGCATTTTGCCCCCCCTATCCTCATCTCCTGGCTCCGCCCCTGGATGTGAATATTTTTCATGCTATTTGATGTTCTTAAATGATCTTTGATTTTTAAACATTGGAATGGATAGATTCTAATGCCAATTATCACATGATATGACATATGCTATTGTTATTATATGTCATCTTTATATTGTATTGGATGATAACCCATGAAAATTATACTTGACATTCTACGTAAGTCATTATATATGTATTATTTTAGCGCGCAAATAAAAATACATGATTACTACAGAATTGGTTGATGAGATTGATAAGCTAGAAAAGGGGCTAATTTAATAAAGAATAAGTTTTCATAACTTCAACTCAAAAATGTGGAATCAATAACTTCGGGCCGGGTGCTCCACACTCCGACAGAATGATGAATGAGTAAATCAAGATAGAATCTCAAACAGTTTTTGAGTAAGGTGGTTCAGTGCTCGGTGCGCACAAGAAGTCCCTACTTGGATAAAATTCTCACACTACCGTTGCAAGAATTGAACTTGATGAGACATCAACCCAACTACGTCACTCACCCACCCTTGAACTACATGTGCAAGTATAAAGTTTTGAGTTATTCAATCCAAAAAGATTAAATCGCCCACTCGAGGCGCACCCACATGGCCACACCCTGATACGACACATTGGAGGAGTGCACACGAGGAGACATCACAAATTTGATGAAACTTTCGCACTACTGCCATTAAGAATTTAATCTACATTCTCAACTCATGTAAGTGAGGTAACTGTCTCAAGAATTGATAACTTACTTAGGCTCTGTTTGCAAGTGATTGTGCTTAAATAAAAGCACTTTTTGGGAAAAAGTAATTAATAGTAAAAGTTGGTAGTGTTTGATAAAATAAGTGCTTTTTGTGTAATAGAAAAAGTAAAAAGTAAATTCTACACGAAAACCGAGAAAGTAAAAGTTAGTATTGTTTGATAAAATAAGTATTTTTTTCTTTAAAAAAACCAAAAGCGCTTAAATTAATTGTTTGCAAACAAAGCCTTATTGATAAAGTGTACAAGTTACAAGAGATATGTGGAAATGATGTCATTTCCCTTCGTATATATTTTGCACAAGTTCAAAAGATACACGTGTAACATGTGAAATTATTGAATGCATTATACGGAGTACTATAGTTGCCTAAATTAGAACACATCGCTTCACGTTACAAATTTAGTTTTCATTTTTTTTGGATACATCGGAAAAGATCAAATTTAGTTTGGGATATTACCCGAAATAGGACTAAAAAGGTTTCAAAATTCTAAAATAGGACTGACATGTTTTTATTCCCAAAATAGGACTAATTACTGTCATGTTTTGGCAGTACCAGACTTCAAACATGGCAGTATTTTCCAAACTTGGCAGTAATTACTCCTATTTTGGGAATAAAAAACATGGCAGTCCTATTTTGGAATTTTCAAACTGTTTTAGTCCTATTTCGGGAACTTTCCCTTAGTTTTCATGCATCTATGGATTATGAATTTATGATATTTTAACCCCTGCCGACCCACGTGTTGTGTTGTCTGCTCACAGTGGCAGACCCAGAGATTTGTGAGAACGGAGGCACACTAGACACTAAAGTTAATTACATTCGGAGTATTAAATAGTTTACTGCTGCAACTTTGGTAAATCAAGCCTATGAGTTTTCATATTCAGAAAATGTTGCATAATAGTTTCATTATCGATGCTTCTAAAAACATCTCTCTCGATGTAGCACACCAAGCAATCCGTAAGATAGTCATTTCTTATCTTATTGCGAAGATCTGTATTGATAATATTCATCACAGAGAAGGCTCTTTCAACGGTGACCGTTGCAACTCGTAACACTAAAGCCAACTCAATCAGACGATATACCAAGTGAAAAGAATTGTGAACTTTAAGTTCAACCATCTTCTTACAAACTTCACCAATAGTTTGTACGGCAGAAAATAACTCATTTGTTCTCATTTCATATATCCACACCTGGAGTTGCTCTTTCAGCTCCATTCGATCAACAAATGAAAAATCGCATGAATATAACTCCGCAAGGTTCAATAGCTTTGACTCACAAAAAATGGAGCACTTATCTCTAGGATCCAGACATGCTAAACAAGTGAGTAATTCTGTGTTTGACCCACTAAAGCGATTCTCCATCTCAAGACTGATCTGATCAATAACCTACAATGAAAACAATAGTAACAGTGATTTAGTAAAAACAAAAATAATAATAACAACAACAACAATAATAATTTTAAAGTACCTAACAAAATACCTCTAGGGGGTGACGAACACGTCTAGAATGATGATTCGTCTCTTCCCTAAAGTCATAATTCGTAAACCGTCTGCGTGAGGTTTTGTTTTTGGAGAACTTCTATCATTCTAGTCTTCCAAATGTTAGTGGGATTTTAGACTTTTAATACTCCGTAGTTTTAGTTGCCTGCGCATTGGCTACTTTTTGGAATTTTAACTTTTTTTGTTACTTTTTGTTTTCAAATCTTAATTATTATTTTGTTTTTTTGACAATTCTATATCTTCTATTTTAATTCAGCTAAAATTTAAATATTTTGTATTACTGAGTAATTTTTTATTTATATAACTGTAACATTTTAGTATCTTAATTATCAAATAATAGTATGAAGCCGGGGCACTCATTTTATCCTAAGTACTACTAGTGAAATTCCGGGCTCGAAGCGGGGGCACGTGCCCCACCTAGCCCCCCTAGGTCCTCCACTGTCTGCTCGTGATCGATCTTATAAGATCTATTTGTCAGTAACATAATTGTTGCCTTTTCTATCTTTGTTCAAAATTGCTACGGGTACCTCAAAAGGTACCTCATTCGTACCCCATATAAAATTCTTCCCCATTTTTACCTCACTCCCTTTCCCATTTAAATAATTTACCCCCAACTCTCCTCTTCCTTCCAAAACTCCACACCAGCCCTCTACCAACTCTCTGCACTCCCTTGCGACAACACCCTCCCCTCTTTCTCACCGCGACAACACCGGCCAACACTCCTTCCGTCTCACCCTCCCCTCTTTTTTTTGTGTTTCGAACGGAGAGCTATAGTGCTAAGGCGAAAGGAGGTCATCCATGGACACCATTCCAACCCTCTTCAATGGAGTTGAGCTACAGATTGTCCACAGACTCCCCCAGTATGTCTCTTTCTCCCTTTTTCATCTTTCTTCATTTTTTTAATTCATATGTAATACTCTATATATCTTGTAATGTTAATGGTTGAATATCTTGTGTTATTGTGATGAATTTGTGATGTTTATTCTTACAATTTTAGTCCAACTATTCTAGGTCATTAATATGCCCATAACATGTTTGTTGAAATGCTTAAATGAATTTTTTGTTTATGTCCTCTTATGTTATAAGGATTTTGGATTTTTGTTTTACTAGTATAAGTTTAAACTTTAAATTGTGCATATTGTTGTCTGGTGTATTACTTGAAGTGCATATATGGTTGATTTCTCTTAGTAGTTGGTAATGGGTTAGAAGTTTAAAAATTGTTTGTAGTTGTCTGTCATGTGAAATTAGTTGTCTGGCAAGCCATTTGAGTTGTCTGTCACTTCATTTTGAACTGTTGCAACTAGGTTTGTAGTTGTCTGTCATGTGAAATTAGTTGTCTGGCAAGCTATTTGAGTTGTCTGTCACTTCATTTTGAACTGTTTGAACTAGGTTTGTAGTTGTCTGTCATGTGAAATTAGTTTTCTGGCAAGCCATTTGAGTTGTCTGTCACTTCATTTTGAACTGTTGGAACTAGGTTTGTAGTCGTCTGTCATGTGAAATTAGTTGTCTGGCAAGCCTTTTGAGTTGTCTGTAGGGTATTCAATTCAACCGTTATTAAAATACATAAATTGTATGTATCAGTGTCGTAAATATCTGTATTGGTTATACTTGTCTGTCTACAGGTCCGAAGAATGTGGAGCGATGGTTGCATCCTTTGCACAACACCTGTTCAAGGGAAAGCCCTTGGTTCTAAAGTGTGAATATGCAAACATGTGGAACAAGAGATGTCAATACGCTGTTCGTTTGTGGTGATTGAAGAGTGTGGAGGAAACAAAGGAATTCCTTAGAAATGTGGAACTTTATTATTTTGAACATTTATATTCATTTGGAATAACAGATGAAATGAAAGAAAACACTTGTATTAAAGGCCCCAATGTTGGTATGAAGAAACCCATTTTTTGAAAAGTTAATTAATTTCTCGTACTAACGCAATGTTTGATAATAAGAGGTTGGATTGAAACATTAGTTTGTTGTGAATTATCATTCTTAACATTAGGTATACACATACATGCATTAGTTTATTGTGATTTACCATTTTTGGCATATGTTTCGTAAAAAAGACAGACAATACATATATCTAGACAGACAATAGAATAATCAGACAGACATTAGTTTTATACAGAGAGACAATAAGTTTACACATACAAACAATACGATACCCAGACACACAAAAAATCAACACATATAACTGAATAATTATACATGTAATGTTTGCAAAAACTTACACATGTTCAAAAAACCAATCCAATTCTTCAACATTGTACCATATTTGACACATTTCCCCAACTGTAATATGTAATGTTTGTAAAAAAATACACATTAAAAATATCAGAAGTTCAAAATCGATACATTTCTCCAACACTCTATGCTTCAGCCTTCTTCAAGCGCCAAAATTCAATAGCAAATTCAAGTCTTTTGTTCGACATGTTGGTGTAGTCATAATCTGTAAGAATTAACTTCTCCAGATCTGTAGACAGACAAATAAAGCACAGACAGACATTTAGAACACTTAACACAGACAAGTAAATATAAATTACAGACATCTATTTTAAAAATGACAGACAACTTCACTACTCTTACAGACTTATCACAACAACATGACAGACAAGTCATTACAGACAACTCAAACAAATACAGACAACTAACAAGAAAATGACAGACAATTCAATTAAATATCAATTACAGACGTCTATTTTGCAAGTGACAGACAACTCCTCCAATCCAAAAAACAAATACAGACAACTCAAATAACTCAAGGTTTGGAATACTTACTATCTGAAACATTCCTAATATGCACAATTTAAAGTTGAAACTTATACTAGTAAAAATAAATACAAAATCCTTAAAATATAAGAGGATTGTAACAAAAATCAAAATCCTGTAGACAGACAAGTATAACCAAGACAGATATTTATGACACTTATACAGGCAATTTATGTATTGTAATAAAGGTTGAATTGAATACCATACAGACAACTCAAAAAGCTTGCCAGGCAACTAATTTTACATGACAGACAACTACAAACCTAGTTCCAACAGTTCAAAATGAAGTGACAGACAACTCAAATGGCTTGCCAGACAACTAATTTCACATGACAGACAACTACAAACCAAGTTTCAACAGTTCAAAATAAAGTGACAGACAACTCAAATGGCTTGCCAGACAACTAATTTCACATGACAGACAACTACAAACCAAGTTTCAACAGTTCAAAATGAAGTGACAGACAACTCAAATGGATTGCCAAACAACTAATTTCACATGACAGACAACTACAAACCTAGTTGCAACAGTTCAAAATGAAGTGACAGACAACTCAAATGGCTTGCCAGACAACTAATTTCACATGACAGACAACTACAAACAATTTTTAAAATACTAACCCATTACCAACTACTAAGAGAAGTCAACCATATATGCACTTCAAGTAATACACCAGACAACAATATGCACAATTTAAAGTTTAAACTTATACTAGTAAAACAAAAGTCCAAAATCCTTATAACATAAGAGGACATAAACAAAAAATATATTTAATCATTTCAACAAACATGTTATGGGCATATTAATGACCTAGAATAGTTGGACTAAAATTGTAAGAATAAACATCACAAATTCATCACAATAACACAAGATATTCAACCATTAACATTACAAGATATATAGAGTATTACATATGAATTAAAATAAATAAATAATAAAAAATGAAGAAAGATGAAAAAGGGAGAAAGAGGCATACTGGGGGGGAGTCTGTGGACAATCTGTAGCTCAACTCCATTGAAGAGGGTTGCAAATGGTGTCCATGGATGACCTCCTTTCGCCCTAGCACTGTAGCTCTCTGTTCGAAACACACACAAAAGGGGAGAGTGAGACGAGGGGAGGGTGAGACGGAAGGAGTGTTGGCCGGTGTTGTCGCGGAGGGTGTTGTCGCAAGGAGTGTTGGCCGGTGTTGTCACAGTGAGAAAGAGGGGAGGGTGTTGTCGCAGGGGAATGCAGAGAGTTGGTAGAGGGCTGGTGTGGAGTTTTGGAAAGAAGAAGAGAGTTGGGGGTAAATATTTTAAATGGGAAAGGGAGTAAGGTAAAAATGGGGAAGGGTTTTTATATGGGGTATGAATGAGGTACCATTTGAAATGGGTGGAGCTAGGGGTACACACTTTTTGTACACAAAAAGTGTACACTTGTCTGTCCCCCATAGACAAGTTGTCTGTCACGAGATGAGTTGTCTGTCGGGACAGACAAGTGTACACTTTTTGTGTACAAAAAGTGTGTACCCCACTCTTTTTTCATTTGAAATACCCATAACAATTTTGATCGTTGTTTTCTATTTTTTCTGTTTTATCGCAATTGTTGGCGACATATAATGGACAATACTATTTGAGGAAAATAAAGGACCGTAAAAATATTATACTCCATAGTCCGTAAAATACATTACAAAAAGTATAGAATAGAACTTTCTTAATCGAATTGATTTGTTAACTAGACATAGTTGTTCCATAAAACAACTATACAAAATGTACACATAAATGCATAAAAAATAAGACACTCAAATATAAAATTATATTCGAAAAGTTGATAACAGTAAACGGGAAATGATTGCTAATTTCAAAGAGTGAATTACTTAAATAGAACAAAAAAGTGGTCCAAGAACACAATTAGGAATGCATATTTTAATCCCCAGTAGATGTGTTTGGACAAATATACTCTTGTAGCTTTTAAAATATCTTAATTAATAATAAAATCTTAAAAAAAACAAAAAAAATGAAAATATAAAGATAATTATAAAATAAAAACTAAAAATAAAATTTAAAAAACAATTTAAAAAAATATAAAAAACCGTAAAAAAAAATGTCACCACCTCTGCCACCCGACGCCACCAGCTCCCATCACCGGTTGGAAATCTACCAACATTTTTAGTAATGTCATAATAATGACAAATTCAATGAGGAAGTAAAGAGGAAATGACATTTGTAAATCATTTTCTCATATCTCTTTATTTTTTCATGAAAATGCCAAGAAAATAGCATTACTCTTCATTTCCCAACACCACTAGCATTGTTATTTTTTATTTTTTTTTTACTTTTTGAAAGAAAAAAACTCAAAAAAAAAATATCAAAATACACAACATATGCATCTGTATGAGAAAAATATTTTTGGAGTTGAAAATGTAAATGTTTCTATTTAATGGAAGGATAAATTGATCTTTAGTCAAAAATAAGTTTGACAAATGTAGATTCTTACTTTATGGTAAAATATGACTTTCTAGTTTGAGATTAAACTCAAGATTAGCTACCCCACCCCATCCACACCTTGTTCATGAGTTTATGGCCAGCTATTAATTAGCTTGTTTTACGCTCAAGTGCTTGATTAGTTGTAACTAATCACCATCTTAATCACGAGTCACAAGGTTGGGCGGACAATGACGGCGGCGGAAGAAGAGAAGGGGGCGGCGGTGTGCGTGACGGGGGCAGGAGGATACGTCGCATCATGGCTGGTCAAGCTTCTTCTCTCCAAGGGCTACACTGTTCACGGCACCGTTCGAGGAGACGCCGCAGGTATTTCCCGGCCACTCTACCTTGCTATAACATTTCTTCAATTATTCTAACCGCAACGTAACGTAAGAGCTAGTTACGTTAAAATGAGTAAATTGGCCGCGCCGGGCGGGTGTTTAAATTTTGATTCAATGCTGTGTTAATTAGAAGATGTGGTAAAGTATGGTCATTTGAAGAAGCTGGAAGGAGCTTCATCGTCAATGTCAGGGAAATTAAAGTTGATGAAGGCGGACTTGCTGGACTACGATTCGCTGGTTGGGGCTGTGGCAGGATGCGCCGCCGTATTCCATGTTGCTTCGCCTGTACCCTTTGGCCCTGTCTCCGACTTCTCCACAGCTCAGGCAAGCTTGGCTGCTACCATATAGCTTAGCTTCTTTCCTTAAAAAAAGAAATTAAGTTAATCAATAGTATATTCACCATACTCAGATCTAGCTAGTAGCTCGTCAGCTCTAAAACTTGATTTTTGAATTTCTAAATTGTTGTTACAACTTGGGATCCATGGTCACTAGAAGTAGTGAAGTACTTGTATGTTCGCTTTAACTTTAATTTGTGTATTTTGGTAGTTGTTGGATCAACTTTTTGAATCCTAACCAAACTACAGAGCAAATGGGTTTTAATTTTGTCTTACAGCAAGGGTATCTTTGTGATATGTTTTCTAGTGAAACAATTAAGGACTGGATTTGATGCTTATCAACAAGAAAAAGATTGAATCTTGTTGAAGACAACAAATAACAACCGAATTTAAATTCTGCAATTATTTATACAAATAATGAACAATCAACAATGCTCTGTCAATATATGTGAGAATTTCTCCTTCCTTTCCCTATGAAACCCTGGAGTCCACCATGAGAGCTTTCACTAGTGACATTCACCAATTGTGGAAGTAGAAGGCCAAAAATTCTTCTCAGTTCTCATGGTGATAGAATTAAAGGAGTAGCAGACCAAAAGAATAAAAAGAATCATAGATATCAAGTAACTTCCTGATTTGTTTCAATTGTTATTTTGATTGATTTTCATTCCATTTAGTGTTTGCATAGAACAAGGAAATTGATTGTGAAATCAACTCTATATTGACACAACTCTGGAGTAATAAAGCAGGCAATTTTCACCCTAAGCTATTGAACATTGCCAATGGCAAGTCTCCACTCATTCTCCGAGACTCGTCAAGCATGATCCTTTTCCTCCCTTTCATTCATAAAATGAAAGCCATTCCCTACTTTGTCGTTCCCACGTCTAGCAATAGACCCTGCTTCCACACGCTTAGCACGATCTTTACTAATGATAGAACTTAGAAGATGATGTTTATATCCGCAAATAGAACAGTCATAATTCAATAGTAGTTGGAAAAGTAATTCTACCATTCTAAGTGTAACTGCACTAGAAGTCAAAATAAACAATGTTTATCACATGAATAGTAATAGGAAAGCTAATCATATCACTTGAGAAAGCCCTACCTTGTAAAAGCATATCGTCTTAGTAGGGTGTTACTTGTGTGTGACCTCTTACTACGAAATTGCTACACCACCCACTTCCACTGCATACTCTTCCACCTATAGGTTACCCCTGAGTCTTAATATATGTATATGGTGGCTCCACACATTGGGAAACACCTTTTAGCTAGGAACATATACAGACCCTACCTAACATATATAGCTCAAATCATCATTAAGGTTGCTCTAGCTGCATTACTTCTTCTCGTGAGTAATAGTTTTTTTGTACACTACATTTTGATGCATGAATCATGTTATCATCGGTTTTACTTGCCAGTCTTTGATATTTTATTTTTTAATAATCACGTCCAAGAGTATTTTGCCTCAAGTCTGTGATTAATTACTCAAAGGTTTGTTTGTTGCAGAAGGAACTATTGGGGCCTGCTGTGAAGGGTACACATAATGTACTGAAGGCTTGTTCTGAAACCAATGTGAAGCGCGTAATAATTGTGTCCTCGGTAGCAGCTGTTTCCATGAACCCTAACTGGCCTGCTGATAAAGTGAAGGACGAGTCTTGTTGGTCCGACGATATATATTGCACTGAAACAAATGTAATCCACCCTCGTCCCCTCTTCAAGTAAAAATGAATATCTTGTTTATGATAACTTACTCCAATTGTTTCATTTTTGGTTGATCTCTTGATTCAACGTATAATTCATATTCTATGCAGAACTGGTATTGTCTTTCGAAAACAGTGGCAGAAAGAGATGCCTTTCAGTATGCACAAAAACATGGGCTTGATGTGATTTCTGTTTGCCCATCACTTGTTTTGGGCCCAATGCTGCAGCAGACACCTAATGCCAGTAGCTCTGTTCTCATCTCTCTTTTGAAAGGTACCACTAATGCAAGTCGCCGTCTAATACAAGAATTATTTCATTTTAAAATTTCATGAAGTTTGTTTGTATTAAGGTTGTCCTATACAAGAATTCTTTCAATTGAGTTGCTTTGTATTTCAGAACAATTCTTGCAATTATGTATTTATGTACTATTCATATAAATAAGTTAGCACATTGTTTAAGAGTTTATTCAACCATTTCTTATATGGAAATGAAAGCAACTTCGAGAGACATCAGCTTTGTAGCTGTGAAAATATATGTTGTGTTAGGGAGCTAGTGATTCACCTGTAGGCAGGAGCGCAGCTAGGGGGAATACTTGGCCGTTGCCCACCCCAAATTTTATAATACTTCCATTTACAGTGTAGACAAATTCTATAAAAGAATATTTTGAAAATTTATTTGTATTGGCCCAGCCTGATGGATTCTCCTGCTTATGCCACTGCTGGCTGTAGGACTATTTTACATTGAAGGGTTTAATGTTCACACTAATCACCAGTAATGTTGATCCAACGCAGAGTTTATCAAAAACCTTCTCCTTCATAGAGTTTGTATCCAAAAAAAGTAAGATGCCATTGACTTGGCCTCCTTTGGCTGCATATGTTTTCTTTGGATTTGGCTTCACATAGTCTTGTGGACTCTTGTCTATGATGACCATCATCCGTATATTAGAACATAAGGCCGTGAATGGTAGACATGAAGACATGATACAAACTAATTTATATGCTTGGTGCCGAATGAATTATCGTTCTCTTACAAGAGTATGCTATTTGTTGAAACTTACCGAAATGTAGTTACTCATTGAAGCTTAACATTTTCTAATACCTTATTATGAGACTTAGGGTTCTTCCTAAAAGTCAATCTGAATGGAAGAGTAAGTCAATGCATTATGTGAGACTTCTGTGTTTTGTATTTGACTGGCACTGGATTCTAACAATGCTCATGTTGACACTCCTAGGCCGTGTACATCCACTTCATATTAGTTTACTGTGTATACATCCACTCCATGTCTCCATATTAGTTACTGTGTGCCCGGAGTATTACATTTTACCAACTAGTGAATCTTTTTTTTTTGCGGTAGATGGCTATTATTTTATTTATCCAAATAGTTCACTTTTTACCACATAAGCAACTATTCATGTTTTGGTTGTTTTTATTATTATGGAATCATCAGAAGGATCTGAAACGGTTCAAAATAAGACGCGAATTATGGTAGATGTACGCGATGTGGCCAAATCGCTGCTGCTAGCCTTTGAGAAGCCTGAGGCTGAAGGTAGATACATATGCAACGCACATACACCAAGTGTTCTGGATATGGTTGAAATGTTGAAGGAAATGTATCCAAACTATAAGTACCCCAAAAGGTGTGTCAATTCTTATCATCTAATTATTTTAGGATTAGCATCATATTTCTGGTCAATTTTAGATATACTCCGTACTTATCTAGCCCACATTGCCAAACACACACACACACACACATTAAAGAACAAGTTATCTTTTTTTGAGTTTTTTTCTCTTGAGTGTAAAGAACAAGTTATCTGATCTACTTGAATTGTTGCAGCTTCTCGGAGTCTGAAGGCATAGACCAAAAAGTGACTTCACAAAAGCTTCAGGGGCTGGGCTGGTCTTTTCGGCCTCTTGAGGAAACTCTTAAGGATTCGGTAGAAAGTTACAGACTAGCTGGCCTCTTGGATTAGCATATGTGTGTGTGTGGGTAACCACCACTATTTGCTGTATGTAATGTGACTTCTTTGCACCAACTGTCTGTTGAAATGGGTTTTTGTTGAATTGCTGAATGCTTTATCTTAGATCCCATTTGATCTTAAGGGTTGTTTGGGTGATATGTGTGGGACACTCTTAGGGAGTGTTTGGTTCAAGGTGATATCTTATGCATGGCGGAATCTCATGCCCGGAATGTGAGATACCTGTGTTTGGTTCGCGGGTTTGATTTTTTCTTTTGGGAATGTTACATTCCCAAAAGTAGAAAAGGTGATCACATTACCAGGCATGTCAAACCCACCAATGCCTTAGGTTATGTTAGATTCCTGATGGCTTATTAATTTTCTTCCAAAAAAAGCTATGCTTCATTAATCGAAATATCTAGATGTGGACTGAGCCCAGTCCGATTCCGGTTCCGGGTCGGGCCCGGAAGGGCTTGGCTTTTTGGGAATGAAGCCCGGGACTGGAACGGCTGTTGACCAGTACCGGTTTGGGGCGGTCTACCCGCCCGGGTAACGGGCCGGGCCGGGTACATTTTTCTAATTCATGTCTAAAAAATAATTCAAGAAGTGATACATATAAAAACTTAAAGTATATTTATTTGAAACATGAACTACAATTGAAAATTGAGAAAAAAAATTAAAACATGAAATACATTTTCTAATAATTGATAAATTTAATGTGTTAAGAGACAAATATATAAAGGACATTCAAGTAATTCACCAAATATGCAATAAAAGATATCATTCAACCAAACAACTTAATGTGACATTCCTTAATCGTAACCAAACACAAATAGGCTATACATTAATCACATTCCCATCTATCTAACATACCCAGTAATCTAACATTCCCATGGTTATCTGACATTCCTTGAACCAAACATACCCTTACAGTCTTACGGTCAGTTTGTTTGGGGGATTTCACATGAGAGAGGAGAGTGATCATATATAAATTTAAAATAATATCTACATTTAGAAAATTGAAATAAAGTGACGATAAAATAGTATTCCTATGTCTCTTAAAACTTTGTTACTTGTCCTTTTAAGTAATGAACTTGTGGTTCCAGTGATTTCTCTATCCCCTTCACAAAGTTCAATCACATAGTTTTTATTTTATTAATTCATGTGGCGGTCAAACTTGGTCAAGTTTTAAGCGACACAGAGAGTATAATAATAAATGGTCTGACTAACTATATGGTTATTTATTTACGATCAACAAGGTGTTCAATTGAAGTAGAGCAAAAATCTAGTGGCTGTCTCCCTTCTTTGTAGGGGTTGAGATTTTCTGCCGCCCCTATCAATATGGGGCTATAGCGACGGATTATACTGATTTTAGGTGTTCTAACGTTTGAGAGTGTAGCTACGTTGGAGGAGATAACATTGGCGGATGAACGGGTTGTGGCTATTAGTTTGTATCGGTTCTGGATCGTGCAGCCTTGGTCGGCTGCTCCGACGATGGTGAAGTTAGTATTCACGCATATTGCAAGAGCTAGTCCTCCTCCGAAACCACCTCCGTTCAAGGAAGAGTTTTGTGGAAAGACTTTATTTCAATATTATTTTCTCTTTAATAGTACTTGTTTTTTTATTTTAGTCCGAGTGGGTTTGGTTTGAATGTTTGGGCTTTTGGAGTTTTTTTATGGGTAGGGTTTCAGTTCAAGTCATTTAGGCTTAAAATTGCTCGTTTCATGTTTAGCGAGTCAGGTTGCTTTGTATGAATTAGGATGTTTTCTTTTGGACTGAAATTTGCTAATCTGGTCTGTCTGGTCTGATCTGGTCTGGTCTGGTAAATGTCTGGTCCCTGTGTATTTTATAACTACGGAAGTCTGGTCTGGTCTGATCTGGTCTGGTTTGATCTGGTCTGGTCTGGTCTGGGATTGAAAACACTCCAAAAGAAAACATCCTTAGCTGACTCTATGTCTATTATCTCTTGGGTTCACGATTGGATTAGTAAAATCTCTCTGAAGACTGTCTTGTACGTGTTCTCGATTTTAATATAAAAGTCACTCTTTTATAGTTTTACGATACGAAACTATATGGCTATTTGTGGTGTAAAACTAACAAATTTAGATAAATTGGTAAAATAGATAATCAATATTTCCCTTCTTTTACCTCCAAAACCCCCCAACGAAACAAACCTAACAGAGCCCCTCTTGAACAGGTAAAATGTCTGGTTACACACTTACACGTTAAAATATATCATTTCATGAGGTATTTTATGTTTATGGGAAGTCAATCATAGCAAGCACATTCAAGCTCATCATGCATGCAACAAATTATAACTTACAACTTATTGGGGGACAAAAAAAACTTACAACTTATTGGTGGTAAATGTTTGCCATATTCAAATATACAGTACGGAGTATTTTTATGACTTGATATCAACATCCATCTATCTATAAGGCTCTGTTTGCAAACACAACTAAAAAAGCACTTCCCAGCTTTTGGCTTAAAAAAGCTAAAAAAGATGTTTTCAAATGACAACTTTTACTTAAATGAATTACTTAAAAGTTAAAAGCTAGAATCTGCTTTTTACTTTTTCTATTACACAAAAAGCACTTATTTTACCAAACACCACCAACTTTTACTTTTAAAAATCACTTTTTTCACAAACACTACCAACTTTTACTATTAATCACTTTTTTACCAAATCATTTAAAAAAGTTAAAAGCACTTCCCAGTGAGGTTTGCAAACAGAGCCTAAAAGGTGGAAAAGTTTGTCTCATTTCCCTGCTCAAAGTCTTGGCTCAAACAGTGGTTTTATAAAGAGGCGGTTGTGCTTTAAATCATTGCACATAAATATCGGGAATGAAAAAAGAAGTCATAAAAAACACTACACAGTCGATCACAGCCAAGTCGAAGTTGGATGAATGACTTCACTAAGACATCTAGTAGGCTTGATGCATTTATTGTTGCTTCACAAAGAAAAATTATGCACCTTCAATGTTTACCTAAAAAATCGTAGGTTTACCTAAACCTCATCTACCAATAATAGTTGGTGTATACAAAATGTTTAAACCTTTTGGACACACTATTTAAATCCCTAAAAATTCATCTTTTTATCCATGTTCCCACTCCTTTCATTCGATCTCTCTATACTTTCTTTTCTCTCCACATGTACCTCAACACTTACTATCTTCTTCATCATTATTTTCACTATCACCATTTTCCATAGGCATCATGGTCTATTTTCATCATTTTCATCATCTTTCATTTTCGCCACATTACATCTTCACCACATCACCATTACCTTTCAAGAGTTAAATAAATAATCGGAGATGGAGAGTCGCTAGAAAATTCCGAATATTCTCATTGAAAATTGTAACCTTTGTATATTGATGAGTATCAAATCTCATCAATTGAGTATTAGAAGCATGCAATTGAGTACCGTGATCTCTTCTTCTAGTACCAAATGAGCATACGTAATTTACAAAAGAAGTATTGAAAAATTCAAAAACTCATTTAAAATATGTAGTGTGCTCAAATATACACTTGTGCATGCCCATTTCTCTAAACATTATACTCATTGAGTTTAATACGATAGTATATGTAACAATATATTGTGGTTCCTTTTCATGAGCTTAAGTGTGGGTTCTGAAACCAAATATCTTGTGACACGTCAAGGTGAAGTTGGATTCTTAATTGTTGTTAGCTCGTAGTTCAAGCTTATATTGTGTTGCAACATTGAGGATTACTGGAGAAGACGACCATAATACTTCGCTTTGGATGTTTAGTTGGATTCTACTATTGTGAGACTTGGTTTGTCGTACACTCCTACTATGGGAACTATGACGGTGAACATTGCGCCTGACAATGAACATGGAGACGTCGACTAACGATAATAAGCTATCTTGTCCTGTAGTGCTGCAGAATAGCTATCTGGTCCAACAGTGCTACGGAATAGAACTGGTTTCCGGATTAGTAGAGTTGGGTCTGCATTATAGTGGGCTGTTGAACACGACGGGTCATGGAATACCCAGGTCTACCATACTCAAGGACATTAAGGTTGTAAATGAACCGAATCGAGTTGAATAGTGTGATTTTGTATTTGTATTTGTTTAATTTTTTCGAATCAAATCTGAATTGGAATACAAAACGAATATTAATTTCGATTTGTATTCGTATTTGTTTAACAATACGAATACTTAATGAATCATATACAAATATCGAATCGATTTAAGCATAAGTTAAACATTAGTCAAATTGTTGAAGGAAATTACTTTAATGTGCATTCGTTATAGATAGAAAGTGTACATAGGGATTATATGTATTGAGCTAATTGGCCCATTGGCCCATTCCTTGTAAAACCCTAATCCCTCCTATTTAAAGGGGGCTTACTAATGGAATGAACACACCTCTCTCACTTCCCTACAACACGTTATCAGCACGTAGCACTAAACCTGTTTTTTTCTCCCGTTCTCCCTACACTCAATCCGCAGCCGCGCCGCCAGCAGTCCAGCCGCACCGCCAACGGTCCAGCCGCGGCCCCCCCTTCCTAGCCTGCGACTCACCGATTCTCGGATCTCTTTTGAGGTATTTGCTTTACTCAAAAATCATTGTAGAACCTTATGTATATGATTTATTGCATCATGTTTACCATTGTGATGAACATCATTGATTTTTTGAGATTAAGTCGTATCATCCATTTTTTTTAGAGGTAGATGCAATTTTTTATTATAATTCCGTAATGCTATATGTTATATAATCATATTGTCACGCCCAGACCGCATCCGAGCGCGTGTACAACCGCCGTATGACTAAATGACGTCACTCGCAAGTCAACATGACTTAATCATACAAGGCGTCCATGAACATTGTTCATACCATACTCAGTAAGTAAACATACATAACAACATCACATATTTGGATTGAACGAGTCGCGGAAATATTCAATGTTCAACCATGGGCCACATATGGCCAAAACGTGGACTCGCAGGCCCAAAACAAATGTACTTATTACAAAAATATCCATGAGCATAGTTTATAGTTTAAAAACGGTAAAGGAAGCACGAACCACGTCTCCCTTTAGATCACTTCACCGAGCAAGGTGAGAATAGCAAGCTTGAGCTTCAACCTGAAATGGTGCCCCCCCCCCAAAGGGGTCAGTACAAGTACCGAGCGAGTAGCAGGCTAAATGTAGAATAACTAACGTTTCAAGTATAAGACCCAAACATAGGGTGATACATATACATATAGTTCTTTCCCCCAAGTTATGAAATATATATCCTTATATATACACTTGGAAATACCCGACCCGTAGGTCATTGTTTATTTGGGAAATAATATAGCCAGTAACCTTGGCTTAAACCCTAACCCACCCATATACCTATGAGTGTATAGAACTCCTCCTGGTTCAAATCATCTTAACATGAG